ACTACATTTTGCTCGGTCAATCTGGCCAGGTAGCTTCAGCCATAACAACCAACTTCCTTCATGTATTACACAACTCTTTTCTTTGGCAGGTAAAGCACACCCTGCCTTGGCCCAGTCTTCATTTAGCAACTGAAGCAAATGCTGAAAACCCTGAAGACAGAGGACAAAGAAAAAACTGCTGCTCTGTTTTTAGTGATGGAAGTTAACCAGAACTTTTTTTTTTTTCTTCCACCTTATCCATAAGAAGTGTGCAAAGTGGACTTTGCAATCCTTTGGTTTCTTGCCAAGCTTCAAAAGCACCTGCATTATGTCCTGCCTGAAGCATCTGCTCACAAACCTTCAAGGTAAACCTTAAGAAAAGGTTAAAGGGTCTACAGAAATATCGTTCAGACATTCAAACTACTGTTCTTCCCAAGGCTGGCTTGTTTCACAGTTCCCGAGGGCAATCAGAACGAAGAGCTCTAACTTGTACAGCAATCCCAGGAAATCTTAAGCAAAAATGCTGAAGTACTTGTATCAAGTTGCCTCGATCTGATTTCCACCCTTGGAAAAAAAATGGTTTGTAAATGTTCCTGGACTGCAAATTCACTTCCTGGGATACAGGAACCAGTGTCTGCTTTCTTCATACCTCAACAGCCCAGGAAGAAACTTCAAACTATGCTCAGATGTCATGATTCATAGTTATTTTTAGGACCTAAGTAGCACACCCTTTTTCACTGAGAAACCACAACCAGCTTGTTCCCACTTACTGATAGGACAAATAGCATTACAACCCCACCAACTTGCCTCCTTGAACCCATTTTTGTAGAAACCCTGCCCATCTCTCTCTGTTACAGAACTAAAATAAGAGCCCTTTTCAAACATGCATGTATAAAGAGCTAAACATTTCAGAGGGAAGGGAGCTTTGGTTTGGTCCCACTGGCTGGCATCTCCCTAGATAAGGATTTTATCTATCTGGGCTTTTCTTCCATGGGAGCAATCCTAATCAACTGTAATGTGCTGTGAGATAACCTTAGGAGACAGGAGCAAGAGCCGCAGCCTAGACAGCGGTCAAAGAAAAGGTAGCTCAGCCCACAGAAGGAACAGGAGTGTGGAAAGCGCCTGAGAAGGGATCTCCCAAGTTCTCTGGAAAGCAAAGGCAAGGGAGGGGAGAAGTTACTGTAACCTTACAAGAAAGGTAGTGTTACTACTCAGGTTTCTGGAAAGGCTCACATCAATCTTGCAAATCTGAAATCACTTCTCCCCTCCCTTGCCTTTATTTTCCAGAGAACTAGCGAGGTCCCTTCTCAGGCGCTTTCCACGCTCCCATTCTTTCTGTGGGCTGATATCTCTTTTCTCTGACCATTGTCTAGGCTGCGGCTCTTCCTCCTCCTGTCTCCCAAGGTTATTCTCACATCCCACTACATCCACAGACAGCACAGCCCAGAATTTTGACTTCATAGTCTTTTTCTAAACGCTTTGCTCCTTCTGTGTGGGCAATGGAAGAAACTTCCAGGCTGCCCATGAGACCAGCATTAACATCACTAGATGTTGCTCCGTTACTGTATTCCAAGAACGGTAACCTTATGTGATAGGTGACAGTGACAGAGTGAGCGGAAACACTTGTGCAAAATCAGAGCCCAAATGGGAATGGTTGTGTGCAAAATCAGAGCCCAGTCTTAGCACTTCCTTGCAGTGCTGCTCTTTAAGAAGAGGGGACCTGAAGTTTCTCTCAACTCTAACTATGGCAATGTTTGAGGATGATGGGTGGATATTTAAATTATCTCCATTTCTCCTATCCCATTCAGGTAAGCCTTCAGATG